CGACAGTGAGCACAGCACTGCAGCTGACCGTGACTTAGGGACGAGAGCGACAGTGAGCACAGCACTGCAGCTGACCGTGACTTAGGGACGAGAGTGAGCCAGCAGTCCCACTACAGCTACAAGGCAGTGAGGTGAAAGATTGCGATGTCTGATCTGGTACAGAAACATTAGTGTGGAGTTTAAAAAGATGTAGCAGTGTAGTCATACCTGCAGTGTATACCTGTGACCTACATTACAGTGGGCACTACTGATAAAACTCTTCACATGCCAGTTTGAAGATTTGGTAATCTGCCTAACCTGGCAATTGGACAGATAATCTGAATGATATCTTTTGTTATTAGTGAGGTTGATAACTTTATATATTTTATAAACAATGAGAATTTTCTCTTAAAAGAATGGACAGCTTATTTCCTTAGCCTATTTTTCATTTTTTAAAAATAAATTCTTTGGAGCTACTTGTATAATGAAGTCTAGTTGATAATCTTGTACATGGAGTCCTTTTTATGTTAGTGACTAATGAAATTGAAAGTATTTCAAAAATAGGCACAAAACATAAGCAAGACACAAGCTAAATTCCCACTTACTGGGCCTCCTGTGCACCACCCCCATTCCTGTCCCCGGCTCCTCCTGCCCCAGGTGGCTGGCTTCTTTCCCACTCACAATCTCGACCTCTTTCTGCATTTCTGGGTCATATACCCATTCTCACCTCATAGCACTACATGCAATTTTCTGTATTTGCTTTATCCTGTTAATATTTTATTCCATTACACACATAAGTCAGGTTATATTTTAGTGTAGTTTATCACTTCCTTCATGTTTCCTGCTGCATAGACGCATGATATAAGTGCATTATAATTTATTTATTTCTGGTTTTGTTAGTATACAAGGTTGTTATGAGTGTTCTTGTACATTATTCTTACCCGACATGTGCAGGACTGTTTTTGGTTATATGTATATATCTACACAGACTTGCTGTCTTTTAAATTTGTTTCTACTGCCACAGAAGGATGTCCATAGGTATTATGTGTAAAGCAAGGTGACAGAGAACTATGATTAGAATTTCATTTTGTTAAAAAGAAGTAACAAGGGTACACAAAGAAAACATATATATATACCAAAAAGTATTGTGAATGTGTAGATTTCATTCAGGTGGAAGAAGTGATATAATCAAATCTACTTGGTTACTTTGGAAGAAGCAAATCAGATGAGGAAAGAAGAGAATGAACCTATGTTTTACACGTCTGTTGTGGTTTGTGTGAAGGTGTCACCCCGCAAAGCCTCATGCAGTCATGGGCAATTTCCGGAGTTTGTGACTGATTAACATGGGTGTGGGTGCGGCACCTGCCCTGGGGAAGGTAATCTGCATTACAGTGTAAGGAGGGAGAAAGGCTAGCTAGCTGCCTGAGCTGCTGCACTCCTTTTGCTCCTCTTCTTTGCTGCTGTCATGAAAGCCTGCTCTCTACCATGTGTCGCTCTGCATTGGAACCAGCCGAGTAAAGACTGAAACCTTCAGTAACTGTGAGCTAAATAAACCTTTCCTTTCTTCATTTCGAGTGTTGGGTACTTGTCCCAGCAAAGAGAGAGGAGAAACTGAGAGAACCTCTGTATACTAACTTGATGAAACAAGAATTTATTGCTTCTGTAAACTTGAAAATAGAATTAAAAGACAAAAACCTATCAACACTGCTATAAAATTCTGGTATAATTCTAGAAGCCCATTTTAAAGTCGAATTGTCTAACTTCCCTGTAGTACTTTACTATAGTTGGACTATCACATGCTTAGCAAAATAAATCATCATTATCAAAATTTACTCTAAACAAAAATCAATTAACTGATAATGACATCCATAATTCTGAGCTTATCATTTTCCCCTAGATAACAATGTTTATGTTTACTGAAACTATGGGCTGCTATTCTATAAACTCTTTAGAAGAGCATCAGAATAATTTCCCTCAATAGTAAATCTGTGCAACGCTAATGAGATAAGAATACTAGGCTGACAGGAAAACCGTGAAACCAAATACACGGAAGTGAGCATTTCTCTCATTCTATAAGGTGAATGGAAAGCACAGGACTTATGATGAGCAAAAGCCACTTTTTCAATTGTACAAATTGAGCTGCTAGTAAAGTTAGGCAAAGGAGAAGTAGAACAACCAGAAGTTAACAATACCTGTTTCCTGTACTATTTTCTCGGTGGTGGCCTGAGGGAGGCAAGGAGATTCTTCCGTATCATGTTCACAGTTTGCCAGAGAAGAGAGTGCAGTGTCTCCCCAGACAGAGGAGAAAGGCTCCTCTTGCGGGTGTGGGTGCTCTTCTTGGACCTCAGCTATGTGGTCAGCCGAGAAGGGTGTGGGGCTAGCCACTGGCTCGAGAGGTGGAACACCAGAATCTGACTCTGGGGAAGTTCTCAGGCCCTTTGGTAGGAATGATTTGGTAACATGCATGTGGTTACAGAAACTGTCTGAAGGCTGTTGATATAAGAGATTATAAAGGAGGTTATGCAAGTTCTCTACAATACTTACTTTGAAATAAAAAGACCTTTTTTAGTGAATCCTCATGAAAAGGAATTTTGTCTGTCAGTTTACCAACCAGGATACATAGTTCATAACACTTCATTATATAAACAAAGCTAACACAGATACCCAAGATACATAAAAAACCACTGCTTATCTAATCAATCACTATATCCCATTATATAAAATCCAATGGCTAATTATCAAAAGCACCATCATGAAATAGGACAGTATGGATAATGCTCTTGGCTAGAATGCTGAAGGAGTAGAAAAAAATATTTGAATTACAACAATATATCAAGTTGCATATTCAGAAGACAAAGACATGAATTTCTCTAGTTGTTTCCATCTAGGGCATAGATTCTGTTTGTAAAATAACCATTATTTCCAGTAAACTATAGCAAAAATAATACCACCCAATACAGGCTTGAAAACAGTCATGGGCTCTCACCTTTCGCTCCAGACTGTCTTCTCCATCTGTGGAGCTGACGCTGTCATACAGCCTCGTCCTGGTGGGCCTCTGGCGCCGGTTCTTCACAGAGAGCTGGGCACGAGTTTTCAGTGCTTTGGAATCTAGGCGCTCTGTCTCTGGAACTGCTTCATTCAAGTCTATGATAAAAACATGACAATAAACAAAATAGGGAAGTTTTGGAGAGGACTGATAAAAGGACCAACATTGATAACAACATCTCTAACATCAGGAAACAGATGACAACCATGATAACCTGATACACAGCAGGTAACAAATCAGTGGAATTTAGAGAAATGTACCTGGTCTAGAAGAATAAAACAATGCTAAAGATGATCAACATAACAATAAAAGTTCACATCCAAAGAGCATAAAAGCTTTCTACAAAATAATTATAAAAAAAGTATGACTTCATTTGCTTATGAGTATGTACACCAGGATGGCTCCTGACCACAGATATGAGGGAAGACGGACCAATGTGGGAAGATCTCAGATCATTCGAAAGAGGATGCATAAGGAAAGTTTACCCAGAAATACACCTGTGTGTGTGTTGAAGAAAAGTATGTTCTGCTTGCATTTATTTGCACATGTAACCAAGCCTTAGAAATAAAGCAGTTAATGGCTGGGAATGGGGCACAGAGGTGTAACACAGGGCTTACCCAGCAGGCACAAGGCCTTGCATTCGAACTGCTGCACCGACTGAAAAGAAAAACTGGTTATCTCTTCACAGTGTCAGTCATTAAGTGAAGCTATGTTTAAAAATTATTAATTAAGCATTTCTAGGTTTACATTATTAAAAATATGATAATGACATTTCAGAAAACTAGAGTGTACTGTACTAATTAAATGAAGCACTTTCTCACAATGTCATTAGCTTAGGCCTTCTTTTTTGGTAGCACTGTATTCTAAATATGTTAAAAATCAAAACATGAAAGCATTTTAAATTGTGCCTCTTTTATTTATGAGACCAAGCACTTGTCCAAAGGTGCCAAGAAATAAAATTAAATATAAATTTGCCCAGGAGATACAGCTGCTGAATGACAATATTTACAGAAAGTTTGACTTTTTATTTTCTATACTTTAATGAATAATGAATATTCAGAAAAGTCAGACCACTCAAGTATGTATGAAGAACTAGATATTTTCTAATTAGTCTCTTTACTTTTTATGCCAAAGGAGGAAAAATCATCTCCTCCATCACTTTAATTTCCTCCTAATAAAATCTGTATTTGCAGCCGCCCGTTAAGAGTTCATTAGTTGTGATAATTGAGACAAAGTCTGTTTACATACAGAACGCAGAATGCCACAGAGATGGAAGTCATAACATATCAGAGACGCTGCAGTGAACATGCTGGCGCCTTTGCTGTCTCATGTCTGGTCGCACGCTCCACAGCACAACCTCTGCCATGTATGCCCCCTCATTTGTCCTCCATGACAACCCCTGAGAAACACAGTGAGTATGCGTTTTTTCCCTCTCCAGAAGCTCAAAAAACTCAGGAAGACTTGCCCTCACTTACACAGCTAGCTGACGGTCTGTCACCGCTTATTCTAGAGGGTTGACTCCTGGGCTACCAGGCCGTTCACTCCTGATTAGCTAGTTTAAAAAAAGCTACTATTACAGTATTTTAATGCCATTATGAGTCAGTGTTTTAGATTATAAAACTATACATGCCTTGACTAGGCTAAAAATTCAGACCTCCAAAAGGTTACTCATGAATATTGTCATTAAACTTCCATATGTTAGGTTTATTGGAGAACATGGAAAAAGAAGCTGAACTGCTTTTCAGATGATTTATGTCTGGATGGCTTAATAATAGTTTTGGTTACTCAGTTCCAAAAAAAGTCAAAGAAGATGCTCTTCGCAGTTTTGTCAACATGCTTCCCTTCCTGAACCATGAGGAGCCAGCACAGCAGCTCATGTCCAGGACTAGAGCAGCTACTCCATTACTGAGAACTGAACAGATAAAGCAGGAGAAATGAGAGGGGCTTTACTAGCAGGGCTTAAGGGTACAGAGAATTTATTCTGACTCCTGGGTCCATTGCTGCTAGCAATCGGCCTGGTCTTGCTGTCAGACAACCTCAACGCACAATGTGATACATGTGCTCCAACAGCAGCTAACTGGGTGCACACTACTTGCATATACACCTGAAATTCTGTCTATTAAAGATGGAGTCTGCTGGATTGTGAAAAGTAGTGTCTTTAAACCACTTCTCACGTGGCTAACAACATACTGCCTGCAATTAACAGTTTCTGAGGGTCTCAAAGCAAATACAAACACTTTTATAGAGTGACTATAGACTATGAACCAGTAATTTATTCCAATCTGGAATTTTCTTTTTTTCCAGTATCAGAAAGCAAACTCAGGACCAGGCAGATGGTTGTGTCACTGAGTTATATCTGCAGCCCAAAAATCTGTTTTTAAAAACAACCAAAAAAAAAGGAGTAGTGCTGAGAAATTTCCACTTTCACAGCACTTAGGCTAGGAAAAACTGGGAAGAGAAGGAACACCGTCTTTTAGAACACCTGTGAAGGACAAGCAAGGGAACCAACACAATTGACTGGAGGAGGCCTGTGCCTGAGAAGACTCTCTAAAAAGAGGCACTCTGAAACAGGGAGAGGTACCCACACTGTGAGGGCAAAAATTAATCTGAAAGACAGCACACAGATGGAAGCAAATATCTAGATTGGTGAAACTGGGGTGGGGGGTGGGGGTGCGTGGAGCGGTGGTGGGGAATAGCCATCAAGAGATCCCCAGATAGCTGGAGGGACCAAAGTAGTGCTCAGAGGGTAGACTTCTGGGACAGTCTCTGTGATTGAGGGCTTTGCTCCAAACACTGGGGAATGCTACATCCCTGTAGCATCTTTTCTGTCACCCACTGCAAGCAAGAAACACCTTCACCCAACTCGGAACATAGATATAAAAGTCCTCAATAACACACTGCAAACAGAATGCAGCAATTCATTAAAAGGATCATTCACTGATGCCACATGGGTTCTATCCCAGGGTTGCAAGGATGGTTCAACATATGCAAATTAACAGATCGACATAAACATGGGCACAGAAAAAAAAAATACACATGGTTCCAACAATAGGTGCAAAAAAAAAAAAAAAAAAAAGTCCTAGACAAAATCCAACACCCATTCATGAGAAAAACACTGAAAAAACAAAATAGGTACAGAAGGACCAAACAAGTAATATCAATTGTATAGGCAAAAACTAAAAGCTTGGCCTCTAAAAACAGGAACAAGACAAGTGCACCACTAGTACCACTCCTATCCAACACAGGCGATACTTGAAACATCACCCGGAGCAATCAGACCAAGAAAGATATAAAAGAGGTGAGTATAGGAATGAAGTCAAATTATCATTACTTGCAGATGGTATGTTCTACAGAAAAGGCCTAAAAACTTCACCCAAAGACTCCTAGAATTAGTAACGAAATTCAGCAATGTAGCAGGATACAGAACCAGCACACAGGGCCAGGGATATAGCTCAGTGGCACTGCATATGCCTGACAAGTGTGAGGTCCTAAGTTTGATTCCTGGTTCAGAAAAAAAAAAAAAAAATTAGCACACAAAAACCAATCATATTCCTGTATACCATTAATTAACTGAGAAAGGAATTATAGAATCAATACCATTTACAGTAGCATCAAGAAAAGTTAAAGACTTAGGAATTAACCTAAATAAGGAAGTGAAAGATCTCCAACCTGAAAACTACAGTACTCATAAAAAGGAGTTTAAAGAGGTGGAGGGCTAAGGATTTAGCTCAGCGGCAGAACGCTTGCCTAGAAACGCCCAGAAAGCTAGAAACTCTGGGTTTGGTCCTCAGCACCAAAGCCAAAAAAATTAACCTCAACTAAAACCGAATTAATAGATACAACTCAACTAAAGAGGCAGAAAGATATCCCATTCGTAGACAGAACAAATACTGTCAAAACTGGTGGTATGGCGTGTGTCTAGATGCCCCCAAAGCCTCATGCAGTCATCGACGTGCTCTTCGGGGGGCTGGACCGGAGGGCATGATGCAGGGATGAGGTGTGTGGTGCAGGACGGAGGGTATGTGATCACTACACAGAGGCCCACGGACAGGCTGGCACAGTTCTGGGAGCAGACAATGGGAAGCCTGCCCTGGGTGTGAGTGCTACCAGCCCTGCCGTGGGTACCCGGGAGCACACAGGGGACAGAGGAGGCTGGCACGGCCTCTCTCTTCCGCTCACTGCTGCACTGCTGGCTGCTAAGTCACCTGCCTTATAGCCAGCCACCTGTGATCTGAAGCCTCTGCAAACTGTGAGTTAGAAGAAGCTTTTCTTCCTCTAACTTCAGGGGTTGGGTATTTTGTCTCAGCAATGAGAAAAGTAAGACAATGGCCCAAACTGATACACAGCTTTAATACAATCCAAATCAAAATACCTTCAGCATTCCTCAGAAAGCTAGAGAAAACAATCCCGAAGTTCATGTAGAACCAGAAAGACCCAGAATAGTAAAAGCAGTTTTAGACAGGAAGAACAGAGTGAGAGGCATCACAATACCCAATTTGCAAGTTATTCTTCTACAAGGCTATCATAATAAAAATGGCATAGCATCAGAACAAAGACAGGCATGTAGATCAGTGGAAAGGAACTGAGCATGCAGAAACAACCCCACATACATCCCATTACTTGACAATGGGGCCTAATCTATGCTAGTGGAAAGATAGCCTCCGTAGCAAATGGTGCTAGGAAAATTTGACATTGGTATACAGAAGATTAAAGCTAGACCTATATCTTTTATCATGTGTTAAATTATTTTTTGACAACTCATTTTATTCAGAAAGCAGATAATTCTGATCACAGGTGGTCCAGGAACACTTAAATACTAAATCCAGTATAATCAGACGTTAGACATTCAAACGTCATAGCCTATGCTGCCACGCTTGCCTATGATCTCTCCAATATAAACCACGTCCATACTTCAGTGGCCACCGAGCCACTCAGCACAGCTTCCTTTACTGTGAGCTGTTTGAAGCTACCAGCTGGAGCACTATGGACTGTTTTTTCAGGCTCTGAACAGCTGCAGGGATCTCAGCAGGGGTTGGAAGAACCAGCTCAACCTTGGCATAATGCCAAAACGTGGCCAGTCAGGGCTTCCAGGAAGTCA